TGGCAAGAAAAATCTGCAAGTATTGTCAAATACATTAGGAGTAATATTTTCTACAAAGCCCAAATGATTCTGGTAGCCTACATCTCATTCCCAAAAGTCTATCCTAACACATTCAAGAAAATTCCTAGAATCATAGAATACCAGCTTGAAAGGTATGTCAAGGATCATCTGGTCCAACCTTTCTTGGCAAAAGCATGTCTAGACAAGATGGCTCAGCACCCTGTCCAGCTGAATCTTAGAAGTGTTCAATGTTGGGGATTCCACTACTTCCCTGGGGAGATTATTCCAATGGCTGATTACTGTTATTGTGAAAATTTTCCTCTTGTGTCCAATGGAAATGTCCCCAGCAGTAGCTTGTATCCATTACCCCTTGTCTTTTCCATGTGACTCCTTGTAAAAAGGAGTCAGACCAAAACTGAACACAGTGTTCCAGGTGTGGCCTGACAGGGGCTGAGTAGAGTGGGATAATGACTTCTTTATCTCTGCTGGTGATGCCCTTGTTGATGCAACCCAGCATATGTTGGCTTTCTTTGCCGCAGCAGCACACTGTTCACTTATATTGAGCCACCAGGACCCTCAGGTCCCTTTCCACAGAGCTGCTCCCCAGCTGGGTAGATCCCAGCCTGTGCTGCACTCTTGGATTATGTTTTCCCAGGTGCAAGACCTTACACTTGACCTTGTTGAACTTCATAAGGCTCTTGTTAGCCCACTCTGCCAGCCTATCTAGGTCTTCCTGCAGGGTGGCTCTCCCTTCTGAAGTGTTCACTTCCCCACTAAGTTTGGTATCATTGGCAAACTTCATCAGGGTACACTTGATCCCATCATCCAGATCGCTTATGAAGATACTAAACACTGTTGGGCCCAATATTGATCCCTGGGTGGTACCCCACTTGTGACAGGTTACCAGTTTGAAAAGGATTTATTTACCACCGCCCTCCGGGTGCAGCCTGTCAGCCAGTTCCTCACCTACCGCACAGATGACTTGTCTAGACTGTAACACATCAGTTTCTCTAGGAGGAGGCTGTGGGAAACTGTATGGAAAGCCTTGGAGAAATCCAGGTAGACGATGTCCACGGCTCATCCCGCATCAACTGAGCAGGTTACTTCGTCATAGAAGGCAATTGGGTTTGTCAAACACGATGTGCCCTTGGTGAATCTCTGCTGGCTTTTGCCAATCATGTGCTTCATTTGACTTGTGATAGCCCCCAGGAGGATTTGTTCCATAACTTTCCCAGGGACTGAAGACTAAAGGGCCTGTAATTTCCTGGATCCTCCTTTAAGCCCTTCTTGTAGATAGGGGTGACATTAGCCTTCTTGCAGTCTTCTGGGATGTCCACCAGTCTCCACAACTTCTCAAAGATTATGGAGAGTGGCCTCACAATGACATCAGCCAGCTCTCTTAACACCCTTGGGTGGATAATGTCAGGGCCCACAGATTTGGAGGGGTCAAGCTCCTGTAATAGTTCACATACCAACTCTTCCTTCACTGATGGTGGGTCTGTGTTTCCAGCAACCTGGATTTTTGTTTCCAAGGCCTGGGGCCCAAAAGTGCTGGTAAAGACAGAAGCAAAGAAAGTGTTGAGAATCTCCGTGTTTTCAGCATTGTTGGTGACTAATTCACCTCTCCTGTTTAACAGCAGGCCAATATTTTCCTTCTGTTTCTGCTTGTTGTTTACATACCCAAAGAAGCCTTTCTTCTAGTTTCTGACACCTCTGGCCAATTTCAATCCAAGCTGAGCTTTTGCTTTCTAACTGCATTTCTGCACACCTTGGTAATGCCCTTGTAGTTCTCAATGGGTATTCATTCGATTTTCCATCTCTGCTATGCTTCTCTTTTGGTTTTGAGCAGACTCAGAAGCTCACAGTTAAGCCAAGGGGGTCTCTTGCTCTGCCTACTTCCCTTACCTTTAAAGGGGATGAGCTGTTTTTGTGCTTCCAGGAGAGCATTCTTGAAAAACTCCCAGGACTTGCTAGCTCCTTTACCCTCCATGGAAACTTCCCGCAGAATCCCTCCCAACTAAGCTCTGAGCAAGCTGAAGTTTGCTCTTTTAAAATCTAAAACCTTTGTCTTAGTACTAACCTTCAGCACGCTCAGCAGGATCCCAAACCCCACAATAGTGTGATTACTGCAGCCAACTGAGTGGCTGAGATTTTATAAAGCAGGTTTTCTTAGTTTGTGAGTAGCAAGCCCAGCAATGCTTCATTCCTGGTTGGCACATCTAACATTTGTATGAGGAAGCAGTCCTCTGCATTCTAGGAACTTGACGGATGACATGTGAGCTGCTGTATTGTTCTTCCAACAAATGTCTGGGTAGTTGGAGTCACCCATAAGAACCAGGTTCTGTTGACACAAAGCTTGCTTAAATGACCCAAGTATTGCTTTGTTGGCCTTACTGTCTTGGTTTGGAGGTCAGTAACAGATGCCTACTATAGGGTCCCCCTTGGAGGTGACCCTTCTGATCTTGACCCAGAGGCATTTGATAGGGCTTCCACAATCACCAGAGTTGACTTCTGTACATTCAAAGTTCTCTTTTAACACCTCTTTGACATCTCTTCCAAATCTCTTCTTCCCTGCCTGTCTTTACAAAACAGCCTATAGCCATCCATCACAATCCTCCAGTCATGTGAGTTGTCCCACCATGTTTCAGTTATTCCTATGATATCATAACTTTCTGACTGGGCACGGAGCTCCAGTTCCTCCTGTTTGTTCCCCAGGCTGCGTGCATTAGTATACACACACTTGAGGTAGTTGGTCTTCTGGTCATCTTGGGAGGCAGCTAAGGAACATGTTGCTGCTCTGGTTGGCCTGGCTTATTCCCCAGTTGGTTGCAATGGCATGAGCATTGACACTTTGTACCCTGCCCCCAAGTCCTTCAGTTTAAAGCCCACCTCACCAGGTTGGCCAGCCTGCTGCCAAAGATTCCCTTGCCTCTTCTAAACAGGTGGATCCCATCCGTCTCTAACAGGCTATAGTCATTGAAGAATGTCCTGTTGTCATAAAAGCCAAAACCCTCACGATGGCACCAGCCACGAAGCCAGAAGTTGATTTGCATTATACGTCTATTTCTGGCTGCACCCTTTCCTTTGGCTGCACCAAAAATTAATTTGGGTTAATTAAAAAGACAAACTTAGAGTGCATGAGGATATATCCACATAGTGAAAAACTATCAAGCTACCAAATACTCTTATCTGTGGTAGCTTTTGCATGTCCCTAGCCTGCTGCAAATTGGAACACATTAATTGGAACCATAATGGAAGCATAATATAATCTTTTAAGGTTCGGTTTTGGTTTTTTTTTTAATAATTCTGGCATGATTTCTTTTTCTTTCTGCTTTGTTGTACCTTAGTTATACATTAAGCTTAAACAAATGCTGTTGGCGAAGAGTGGTCTCATTACTTCATATATGTGCACACGCTTACATTCACAGCTCCTTATTCCTAAACAAAACTGGAATCTTGTTTAACACCTGCCTTCTTGCTATGCCTTGTAAGAACTGAAGAGAGGTTATTTAGCAGATCAAAGCAGAAGTGGGACCAAGTGATAACACTATGTTTGAATTCTCCTCTGATACTCACCAAATCAGTAAGGTGCTAGTAAGGTGCTGTAATGCAGGCTTCTTCCAGCCTCAAGCTGGCATCCTCGCAGACTGTCAAAATACTGTCTTTCAGCTAGTAGAGCAGTGCCTCACTGCTGGCTTTAGTAATATGTTTGAGGCTGTTTCTAAAAGAGGGTTTTTAACTCCATGAGCACTGCCTGCTTGGTTTAATGTTAAAAATTTGTTGGCTGTTTTCTGATGGGTAAGCAGCAGGTGTCTGGAAATTTCTCTGAGCACTGAGTTTGCAGTGGCAGATCTGTAGCAGTGAATTGCAAGGAGCAGCAAAGTTTGGTAAGACAAGAAAGCTGCCATTCTAAACTGGCCTGTATTTTAGGATTTTTTTTAAATTGGGAAACTTAGCAATGAGGTATCAAGGCTTTCAATGCAAGAACTATTTACCTTACAGGAATATAAATTAGGTTTAGGGCATGTGGTAAATTTTGTTTCTGAGTAAGTTTAGGAGTAAGTTAAGTTTATCCGCTTAGGATAAAACCTGACTTCACCCAAACATACAATAAGGCATTTTATTAACCCCAACATTTAATGAGATGTTTTATTAACTGTTTATGCAAAGTGAACAAAATACAATTTCCATGAGTTTCTTTATTGTTTAATTCATAAAGGATAATTTCTAAGAAACCCCTGACCTCTCATTTCAAATGAATTTCATCACAATGTTTTTATTTATAATTTCAAAGACAAAATGGTCTATTGTTTCTAGAAGTAACCTGTTTGGGAAGGATCTGAATCTGTGAGATACTTTATTCCCCCTTGACTTCACTGAAGTCTTGTTAATAGGATAGAGTCCAGATAAATTATTAGGATTATCCCAATAGCAAATTTTACAGTGTTTGTATCTAAGTGTTTTCTTTCTCAGTCAGTGGTGAGAGAATTGTTGTGCTTTATGCAAGAAGTTACTATAAATAAAAAGGTCTTGATTCATCACTGTGTCACTGCAGAGTTGCATCACTGTCATTCCAGTATGTATGTCCAGGATCTTAACTGTTCTCTTGCAGCCATAAGGAGTTCATTTAGATACTTAATTTTAAGTCATTGGCAACTCTTTGGGTCTTTAAAATCCCACAGTGATACTTGAAAAACATAATATTTAAAAATGGAAAGTCCCCTGTCCAAAGAATTTGGGAGAGAAAAGATATCTTGGAGGAAGGGAAGTGCTCACTAGCTACTTAATACTGGAGTGTCAGAGCATTCTGGGGGAAGATTAGGAGTGTTTTGAATAGGGTGTTATTTTTATAGTGTTCTACTGGTGTAATACCAGAGAAAACCCGCAATGGGCTGGTCCCAGGAAATCCATTCCAGAATTATGACACTGTAACAGAGATCCTAGGGTTGACAAAGTGTGTTACATACTTCTGATGAATTTATATTTTGTTCCATTTTCAGTGTCTGCCAAACCAAGACCTCACAGTGATGAATACACAAAGAAGATTCCACCTCCTAAGCCGAAACGAAATCCAAACACTCAGCTAAGCACATCTTTTGATGAAACATATATCAAAAAGCATGGCCCTATGAAGACAACACTCACTAGGGATGCCTCTTTATCGCAGGTCAGCAGTCCTGCCCCAGACACAGAGGAAGAAGAGCCTGTTTATATTGAAATGGTTGGGAATATTCTCAGAGACTTCAAAAAAGACGAGGATGACCAAAGCGAAGCAGTCTATGAGGAGATGAAATACCCTATATTTGATGATGTAGGCCAAGATTCAAAATGTCAATGTGAATATGACCATCACACTTGTTCTTCTCAGTGTGCTACTCCCACAGTGCCTGACTTAGATTTCACCAAGTCTTCGGTGCCATCTACTCCCAAGGGCTTGCTTTGTGATATACCCCCACCATTTCCAAATCTGCTTTCTCACAGACCTCCACTGCTGGTGTTCCCACCAGCACCAGTGCAGTGTTCCCCAAATTCTGATGAGTCTCCTCTAACTCCACTAGAGGTCACAAAGCTACCCGTTTTAGAAAATGTGTCTTACATCAAACAACAAGCTGGAGCTTCTCCATCTTCACTGCCACCTCATACACCAGGCCATCAAAAACTGGAGAAAGATCAGACAGTATCTCATGGAACTAGCACCCCTGGGCACACCTCCTCACCTCCTCATCCTTCTACCTTATACAGAACACAGTCTCCACATGGTTATCCTAAAAGTCACTCTGCCTCACCTTCTCCTGTCAGTATGGGTAGGTCTCTTACCCCCTTAAGCCTCAAAAGACCTCCACCTTATGACTCTGTACATTCAGGAAGTCTCTCAAGAAGCTCTCCATCAGTGCCTCATTCTACAGCCAGAAACACATTGCAAGAAGGAGGAAAGATGGTAAATGCCTCGGTCAGTACCTACGGGTCATCATCTCAGAGTGGTTCCCGTTCTCGGACACCCACCAGTCCTCTGGAGGAACTAACCAGCCTCTTTACCTCAGGACGAAGTCTCCTGAGGAAGTCCTCCAGTGGTAGAAGATCTAAGGAACCTGCAGAAAGTAAGTTCTTGATGTAATTTTTCCTTGTTCTTCCTTGTATAGTATCTTTCATTATATTTTACTAAATCAAACACTTGCAAAAATCAAATACCTCAGAAGTCTGAATTCCTTATATAAATTTCTTGTAATGGGAAGAAAAGTGTATATTGTTAAAATTGCTTTAGTCTTCATATTGTTATATTTTTAAGATTTCCAAGTATGCATACTGCACTACAGAAGTACAATTCATGGCTTGGTCTTGCAAAAGGAGTCAGTTTTCATTAACTTTTCCACAGTTGTAAGGGTCCCATGTGAGTTGGGATCTTCCCACCACGTCACATTGTTCCTTTCTTGATGGATGCTAAGGCACAGTAATTGTGCAAGCAGCTTGTAGCAAAATAACCAAACAGTAGTGTTTTTTTGGCAAAGATCCATTGATCACCCTTAACTTGGCCACTGATCACGACGTGTATGATGGCAACCAGAGGTACCAGCTTAAACCATTCTTCTCCTTCCCACTGCCTCCTTCCGTACTGTGCCAGAGTATCTCTTTCAGCTGTGCTAGTGTGACTGGTTGGGAGGCCACACTGTGAATCGATCTGAAAACCAACATGAGTTATAACACATTACCCGCACACAGAGAAAAGCACGGGAGGAAGTTGTGCAGGAAAACCTTAGGCCAATATTGACTTTTCATATACTGTATCATAAAATCGTTATCCCATATGCATTCAGGTTTACACAATGTACACCTATTTCTGAGCTAGCGAAATATGGAAACTCCTACTGAAATCAGCAGGAGTCACAGGTGTCAGTGAAAGCAGAACCTGGCACCAGTATTTATGTTGAAAAACATTCCTGTTCAGTGGTGCCAAAGACAACGTCTTGGAGTAGAAGGTAGCCACAACACTGTTTGTCAGAGTGCAAAGTGGGCTGAGTATGCTTTCTCCTCCAACTTCAGTAAAATCAGTTTATGACTTCGAATTCTTGACACCTGCCTAACGGAAAAGCTCTCTTTGGAGAACAGCTGATCTTATGTTTGTGTAAGTGCTGTATTATACCTATTTGGCAGCTGTAACACATTAAATACAATGTGATAAACTACACTGGTTTATACCTGATAAAGTGTTACAGTTTCCAGGCTGCCATATCACTGAAGAGAAGTGAATTCTGCACTGCCTTTCTGGTTGTGTTTGTGCCGCTCTGTTACATTACTTATCACAGTTTGGTCACATCACTTTGAGGCATGCTCAGGGGGCTCACAAAAACACCCCCTCTGGGTTTTCATGGGCAGAGGTTGCCTGCCTTTCACCTCTGCAGCTAAGTGTGAACAGGTAAGTATGGAGAAGCTTGGTGGCAATGGTTTGGGTTGGCATACGAAACATTCTTCCTGATTCATGGACTCCACTGCCGCAGCCTCAGCAGTTTTGTTCTTATTTATGTCTGTGCAAATCAGGAATAAAGACTCTGAAATCAGAAGGTGGAGGTGAGAATGGAGTTAGCAGGATACTGAGACTATGAGTTAGTGCAGCAGTTTGCTTAATTTTGCTTTAATATTTTTGTGGCCTGTAATCTTAAATAGTGTTTTAAGAAAGTATTAACTCCATGATTCAGTAGGGTATCACTATGATTACAGTAATAAAAATACAATAACACTGGATTTGTGTGCTGGATGGAAGCAAGTTTGTAACCTAAAAGGCAAGACAATTCATGTAATTGGGAACAATTATGAGGGATGTGATGTGACATTTATAAATAATTGCAGTGAAGTGGTAGGGAGATTTTGGCAAAGTACAGCCAATATTGAACATTATTAAACATGCTTCTTATTCATAAGTGAGCAGAAATCCCCTGTAAACCCCATGCTACACCAGATCTACCTCATGAGCTGCATTAAGTTGGACGGTTTTATGCTCACTAATGTAGGCAGAAGTACCAGGTTTGGAACCTATAGAAATTCCTGCAGTGAATGTGGCAAGTCCTGGGAAATTTCAGCAAATCAGTGTTGCTGTCTCATACATACCTCCAGAAATACATTCTCTATATTCCACTTGACTGAAATTGAATGCAGACCTTTCAAGGGACTTTTCACTGATAAATTTAAGATAAATCTTGCCCTGCAGATCTGTACCAAGAACAGCTTTCTTCTTGGTCTCTCAAGGAGCATTCTGCTTGCTCCTGAGGAAGTAGAAATGTGCTCTGTATTGGTCACAAATGGTAAGACAAGAGAGATATGAAATAGAAACTGTGTTCATTTACTTTAAGGACAAAACATTCATGTTATAAATAGACATCAGTGGCGAAAAGACTCTGGAGTGCAGCTGTGTTGAGTAAATGAACAGACTGCCCATCTAATCCAATTGTAATTTGTCTGGTATTTACAGTATGACTTAATCCTGTGGGATTACTGCACTGAGCAAGAACCAGGTTTGTGCTCAGATATTACAGAGGTAGAAGACACTCTAAGATTTACAGAAAACACATACAGGTCTAGCATTTTATGTCTTGCAATTCTACATTAAAATGATCCACCCATAAATTGTGGGATTTAAATGTAGAATCTGACCAGACTGTCACATTTACATGTCGTGATTATACATAGTGATAGTGTAGACTAAGCTAATCATACAATCTGTTAAAGAAATCTTGCTCCTGCAAATCGCACTAGAAGCCTAAGGCACTTGTACAGTTCTGCAATATTTTTTTAAGCTATGGAAGAGCAAATGCATAGCATAGGACTAACTGGGACTGCCATGGTTTTATAGTTGTCACTTCAGTGTAATTTGGTCTCAGGATACAGAAGGATTTCCAGAATTTAGAGGATAATAAACACACACAAAAAAGAACTTACATGATTCTTATGAAATCATGCTAGGAAACTGAACGTATTTGCTTCTAAAATATAAAATTATTCTGGGCACATCTCAAGCAACTTTCTTATTGAATCCTCCAAGACTCAGCCCTCTGTGACTTGTCTGAAGCTCTCACTGCCATATGCTAGTCAAAAAAAAAAAAAAAAAAAAAAGCACAATACTAAATTTTATATTCAGCTGAGCATATTTGGAAAATATTGCAGCAGTTACAGAGAAAATTCTCTCTCATCTTTATTGTTATTACTGCAACTGACTTTGTGGAAATTTGGCATCTGGGTCCAAGCTCAGAATGTATTTGCTGGCTTTTAATTTGTGGCATTTTTGATTGCGTTTCTTTTTCAGGAGGGGGACTGCACAAACATTATTTCCAGTCAATAGCTTTAATATATAAGCAAATCTGCCCTTGTAGCCTTTCTGTATTATTTTCTTTACTCTTCTGCCATTTTTCCTTTTTTATCCCCCTCCATTTTATTCCTGTAGATTTCACTGGAATTGCATTAGTGGGAAATTGGGATAAATCAGTGATACTAAGGAGACTGTCACCTCAGGGCCACATTTTCTGAGGATATAAGCTTCCGTTGAAGCCCCGGATATGTTGCTGAATGCACTCAGCATCCAGCGGCTGCAACTGTGATGTGCGTATCTGGATTTTATAAGCAGCTCACTTATTGTGCTGTGTTCTTCTAAAAATCCTCTTGTGTGCTGTTAGCATCTTAAATATGCAGTACAGCACAATTATGAAGGTGGGAAGAAAAGAACAAAGAAAAATAAATTGTAAGGCCAAATCAGAAATGAAAAAAATGGTGGAAGATGATCACCAGGAAAGGCAGAAAGGTGGAGACAACCCCTATGGAAGACTGAAGAAAGATGTAGAGCATGAAAAATGTGAAAGAGTTGAAAAGATAGATATTATTGTCATTGACTGTTCTTTCAGCCTTCCTGCTTTTGTGTGGGATAACGTGGTAGTGTGCCCTAACAGCTGGCAGATTGCTGTGAAATATAACATCAGTCCTCAGAGGTTAGAGGGAAACTGTTTAAAGGGTACCAACACTGCCTGATATCCTTGGGTTGCTGCAGTGTGTCCTTTTCTAATTCAGTTGGAAGGTGTTTGAGTATGACCGCTCTATCCAGCTGTGTTGGATGACACATTTCCTTTGCTTTTAGCATATGCACGGAGTGTTTGTGTTACCCACGTCCTTCAGTAAAGAGGGAATTACAGAAAGAGAGAGGAAGGGAATGTTCTTCAGGTTTTCTGGAGCTGTATTTGCTGCCTCTGTCTTTTCTGCACCATAGAAACATGCTGTACTCTGTGAAAATATAGAACTGAAGTCATGTGCCTATAGGCATACCCACATCCTAAAAAGCAAAACAGAAAACCTGCTGGTATACATCTGAACTGCACTCACTTCAAGGCAGTACATTTTTTCTGAGTGAAATGGTCCTGTAAACCCTTGCCAGGACTAGCCCTTTCTGTTTGTGTATTGGTTGTTTCCATTTGTTAAGGCTGCAGTTTCCTCATAATTTCCTAGGAAGTTCACGCCAGTTTTGAGTAAGCATTGCAAATCTCCATCCTAATGAACTGCACAATATAATAGTTACCTCTGCTGTGTGACCTGACTCTGTGCATGAGGTATGAGATCAGGACACGTGATGCACAGCAGCTCCTTGCTCTTTTCCTTAGCTGCTCCACAGGGCTTCATAGCTGCTTTTGCCTATGGAGAGTTTCACTCTTCAGCTTCTAGTCACATATAGAGAGGAAACTTGTGAATGTGCTACTTTGATAAGTCAGTTAAAGTGATTGAAAATTGGGTTAATTATTAACATTTCCTATTCCTGGCTGGTACCCACTGCATTAGGAATCTAAAACATTTTATTATAAGCTGCCAGATAGTGTGGGGAGGGGAGGGGTGCAGAAGTGGCACAACTTGTTAAAAAGGAGGTCATGCTGATTTCAGGCAGCTGAGACCCTCCCATGAAGCAATTGTGGAGTTAGAGTGGAAATTTTTACTTTTTTTTTTTTTTTTTTTTTTAAATGCTGGTGCTTTCCAGGGAGCTAGAAAGCAGCTTTGGGTTCCCTGTTAGATAGAACAGTATGTTGGAAAGAGAATTTGGGAAATGAGTCAAGTGAAAATGCACCCCCGTGGGTCT